CCTTGTCTTTCTGGTATGCGCAATTGGTGATGACGTCTGTTCTGGCGGCACTGGGGTATTTGGCCAGGGTAGGCAGACTGCGGCTACCAGCGTCCTTTGCATTGTACTGACCCAATGAATTATTGCCGAAAACATTTGTTTTCCAACATGAGTACTGAGTTTGTTTGGAGAGTGCCTTCGAGACGCTAATAATATTTAAAAACGGGGATTTTGAAGTCCGTGTAATGGAGTCTGCTGGAATCGCTGCTCCTCTATCACCCGGTTCCCAATTTCAGCCAACCGAGAGATCCCGGGACGCAGATGCAAAATTATTTGAATACCAGCAGCTAGACGGTCTAAAAACTTGTATTTTAATAATATTTCTTCACTTTGCATGTCTCCGAGGACAGAGCCCAATCGTTTGAGATGTTATTAGGAATTTCGGTCACCCTCTTATTCGTCATTCACCAGCTGGCAGTCAGATAATGTATTAAGTCGAGGGATCTCTGCCTACAACATGGAAGAGGGATTGTACAGCAAGAATGAGGTCTGAGAGATAACACTAGCAAAGAGTATCTCCACAATTTTGTGGTACTTTGGTGGTTCCCCGGTACCGTTAGCAGAATAAAAGGCCGATTCAATGTGCATGAAATGAAGTTCTGGAATAATTTGCCAAAATTCAGAAAGAATGGAACGAACGGCATGAGAAGATTGGGCAGGGATACCGAGATGCTGACTGAAGTGAAACCTAACGAGCCTAAAACTATTGGCAGAATATGGAAAAAATTCGCGAGAAATCTAAGCTTTACACAGTAATTAGGTCTCTATGAATGTCGGGATCATTATAATGATCCCGACAGTCATAGAGACCTAATTACTGTGTAAAGCTTAGATTTCTCGCGTAGGTAGTAACGTTCTCAAGAGCGAACGATTGGTATTTTGAAAAGTCGGCGGGACTGGCTTTATAGGCCACAAAAATGCTGTCGACTAATAATAAAAATCTACTTTTACGTTTTCAGCAGCTCGAATTTTAATTTTCTTCGTTAAATTCCCCCAACAGGAGTTCATGTTGATGCAATTTAATTATACTTTAGCATATTAAAACAAGCAAAATTATTTAATTTAATATTTTTGGTTACTTCCACCACAATAAAATATTCATCTACGCTCACTAGCCAACGATTAAATGTTAAACCACAACATACATTAGGGAGTTGGGCGGGAGGATAAATATCTAGAAGGGCCTTTCAAGTCAGTTTTGCAGCGAATCTTATGTGAGAAGGGTATTAAGATAATCCAGCAGGTGGTGGTGGTTTTTCCTTGCCTTTACTGTCGCTATCGATCAATAATTTGAGGATCTGGTCGAACCTGTCAGCTCTGAGTTGATCGTTTTTTTTCATTTGCTGGCTCCGCCCTTCTATGGCTGCTCGTGTAGCTTGATGGCCTGTCAGCAATTGATGGTACCTTGTTTTCAAAGAAGGCCGGCAGTCCCTAGGGACAGAAGTGTGTCGCCGTCTTTAGCAATAAAGGATTGGGGGAAATTTCGAATGTGCCGACGGCCAAACTCATGTAGAATGCCGAGAGGGCTGCAGCA